TCAAACCTTCTGCATGAGCATCACACTGATGTCAGCAGAAGTTTTCCAACCACAAAGGATACATTCTTGTTTACTAAAGCAATAAATCATAAGTGTTTTGTTCCCAGGTGTCTTATGGAAAAGAAAACTGAATGCAATCAAGTAGAAGAGAAATAAAGACTCATTTGTAGAAATCAGGCTAATTCACTTGTAATAAATTCATCTCCAGGGGTAGGATTGAACTGAAAATCTACATTCGTCATAGAAATTCTCTTTTACAAGAAGCCAGCAAGGTCATTTGCAACAACATTGGTGCTGAGCTGGGTTTGTGTAACCAGGGCTCTAATCATACTCAAGGGCATCGACATGAAATGAATGAATTATATTGTTTTCTTTAAAACCAATTGTCTGAGGAAAGTACAATGACCAAGTTACTTAAAAATGGATTCTCTGTTAAACCTGGGACTAAGAATTTACAAATGGTATTTTCAGTTCAGTCTTTGCTGGCTAACAGCTTACAGGGAATGGATGATATCACTATTGCATACGTGTGCTCGGTTTAAATCTAATGAATGCAGCACTGTGTGGGTGAGGGCAGAGTTGCACTGGCCAGCAGGGAATTTTGGATGCATGGCTATGACTAGGAGGATGTGTCACAGGAAGTGGAGATACATGGCCCATGGTGGTCTTCATGCTTCTTTCCGTCCCGATAATTTGCACTCGTCCTAGTTCCCACTGCAGTCTTCACTGACATGTTTGCCTTTTAAGATGTTCATAGTTCTCTTGCACATTTTTCTGCTGGGAAACCCTAATGCCTCTGTGCTTTGGAGACAAGACTTGAATGCTGGATTAGGGAGTAACACTGCTATGACCTTGTTTGGGTTTTTTTTTAGTACCTCCAAAAGCCACTTAGAATCATGTCAAAGATGAATTGGGTTGTGAGGTGCTGACTGTGCCCTGTAGCTGCCATAAAGGCACTCCTGGGTCTCAGAATCCACAGTGAAAAACCATCCTGCCCAGGAACTATCATAATCAACTGGGTTTTAAGAGCTTAGTGATTCTCTGCTTGAAATGAGAGTGAGTACAGGGAAAAAGCCTGCTCCTTTTGTTATGCTGGATCTACTGAAACAATTAGAATGGGGTTGGCTTACAACTGAGTGAATTCACATTTCTTTGAAATATTAGCAGCGATCAAGGGCTGACCAGATAACACGGCTGTGGGGAGAGGGCTGGGGTGTCCCTTCGAGTTCTCCAGATGCCAGGGTTGGGACTCAAATCGCATAGCTGGGAATGAGAAAGGAAAGTCCAAAGCACTGGTAGCATCTGAATAGCTGGACCTATGGGAGCAACTGGAGTTTCTGTGATTATAACATTGCTTTGTGCCTTTTTGGCATTGAGTCAGCTCCTTTCCTTACTGATGGAAGGTAAAACACGTTGAATACATACTGCATTAGCTCTGAAATCCCACCAATTCGCGTTTTCCGACAATGTACTACATGGACTCTGTCATGGGGCAAAGCAAACAGAGCTTTACTGACAGAAGCTGTTCTGTCAGCAAACAGAGTCCCAGTGAACCATAAACAAGGTCAGTTAGAACAAACTGACCATCTCCCACATGGCTCAGAGGTTGCCAAGAGAAATCTGACTCTCAGATCTGCTGGGGTACAGCTCTGTTGCCCTTCAGGGACCCATCCCAGTGAGTCCACCCTTCCTTGCAGGGTTTCTCGGCTGAGATACACTCTCTTTAGGTGAGTTCTTCTCCTTAGCACTTCCTGTAAGTGTGTCAGGTCAGGGCTAACACACTCACAGCAGGTCATTTATCTTGGATTGATTAGGGGGTTGATATTGGTTATGATAGGAGGTTGATATTAGTTATGATAGTGGGTCACATATTCCACTGCAAGCTGATTGTCCCCTTCTGCTGACTGTTAATGCAGGAAGTCAAGTGGACAACACTTCACAGGATATAAAGGAGCTCTAGTTCTCTCCTAGGGCTTTGTTTGGATCCAACTGTCCCACAGACCAAGAGAATGCATGTATGGGATTAACCTGCCCTAATCAGATCTAGTTTTGGTTTAGTGGAAGATTAAAGGGTGTTAATAAAATTACCTCCAGATTAATCTAATACACTGCAAAATACATGTGTTTACTATAGACTAAATGAAATGCAGTACGTAAATGACATTTTTAGCTTACGTCTATCAGAATCCTTCCTTTCCTTCTCTACCACTAATACAAGTAAACAGCATGAGGAAGAATATTCTCTGTCACTCAAAACCAACATGGACAAATGATGAAAGGCAGACCCACACAATTTTCCTGGAATTAGGACAAAATGCTGCCTGTTTCCACAAAAACTTTGCAGAATTGTCCAGTTCTTAAAGAACATCACCAGGACTATGCAGAGAGTAGCATCAGCCAGGTATATTTAGCCCCCTGCTCTATGGACCTCCATACTGTGAAATACAGGCATTTTACTGCCTTCTATGTATGCATGGCATGAGACTAAATCTTTTTCTTGTCCTCTCCACATCCTCCCTTTCCAGAGAGATTTGGGATGATTCCTCTTCCCACTCCAGGTCCCTGCCACAGGTCAGGCCAACCTGCTGGGGATGACAACTGTGGGGATGCCCCACATACTGGTAGGTCATCCCTCATCCCAAGCCCATCCAGCATTCAAAGGTGCCCTGTTTGATACTTTTGCTGGCAGCAGCCACTCCTCACACTCCAGTGTGTAAACTTCCAGTGCAGCTCTCCTGCAGTTCCTTGCCTTCACTGTCAAAAGCAGAGACCTGGGAGGCAAATGGTGCAGGAAGTTGCTCCATGTGTTATTTCCCGAAGCCTCTGCTCTGTCTTAGCAACCATGAGTTT